CTCATATTGTATGAGGTTCACACGGCTGACAATGTTAGAATCACCATACAGCGCACTCTGGGTGATGAATTCCACAGACTCATGACCCTTTGAGAGAATTAATTCCTCCTCATTTCTGTTTTAAATCTGCTAGCCACTATCCCAAAATTATGAGCTCTCATTCTAGATTGCCTCACAAGGCAAAACATCTACTCTATGACTACTTTGTCAATCCACTTTAACATCTTATTTATGTCAATTAGATCTCCTCTTGTTCCTCTTAACTCTGGAGAGTTTAGGCCTCTAGAGAGAGAACAGACTGCAGCTCAGACCCATTATGCATTACTGAGTGGGCCAGCATTTATTGCCCACTTGAACTGATTGGTTTTCAGAGGGCAGCTCAGAGTCAACCACATTACGGTCAGTCTGAAATCTCAGATAAAGACAATGAATTTCTTTTCCTAAAGGACATTAGTGAACCAGGTGGCTTTTTACCACAATCAACAGTGTTTTCCAATAGACTTTCTCTTTTATTAATTCCATTTTTCATTTTTTCAAATTTCACCGTCTGTTATGGTGGGATTTGAACCCATTTCTGCAGTGAATGACACTCTACTGGAAGCACACTCCTCTCTTGTAATGTAGTAGCTTAATATTAGCACAGACACCTGTGTGCCTTAGAATGTAGTGTCTGTATATAAGAACTAGCTTCAATAAATGTCTGTGAATTCTTCAATAACGCAATATCATCACCTTTACTTCTTACGTTACGAAAGGTAAAAGAAGCAATGTGACATATGGTCCAGCACCATGTTGGAGATAAAATCATGACAAGGAGGGCAGATTGATGCTTGATTGTAGGAGCAGAGTGGTGTAAAGGTAATGTCACTGGATAAATAATTCAGCCAATTGCACTGGGAACATGAGCTTAATATACAGTATGGCAGTATGGTGAAATTTAAATTCAATAAAATCTGGAAATTTAAAGCTAGTCTCAGTTACAGTATCGTTGAAATCATATATTGCTGTTGAAAACAAAATCTAGTTCACCAATATTCTTTAAGAAAGCAATCCGCCACACCTATGTGCTCTGGCTGGTTTGTGACTTCAGATCCCTAGTAGTGTGATTAACTCCTCATTGTCTCTCTGAAATAGTCCAGCAAACCACTCAGACCAAGGTCCATTACAGATGGGCAGCAAACTTTGGTCATGTGACCAACAGCCATAACCCAACAAAGAATAAATAAAAAAGGCAGGTGAAAGTAGGTCGTTGAAGTGATGGCACACAAAGGTTTTCAGAAGCTCAACCTGTGTGAAAACTAGGTTGCAAAAACAACATACAAAATGTTAGAGTCACTTCAGAACTGACTCATACTGGACTTATATTGCTAAGTCTGTATCTCTCTCCATAGATGCAGCCAGATCTGCTGAGTTCCTCCAACATTTTCAGTGTTTCTTTCAGATTTCCAGTATCCATGTATTTCACTTTTATGCAGGAGAGTACTTCCCCAGTTTCTTTGACATTTTGTTTTTAATATTCCATCAAACATCCCTAAAACAGATTCTCCAGTTGTATGTAAAGTGCTGATTGTGGGAATTTGCTGATTATAGTTTGGCTGCTGCATTTCCCTGGAGTTACAAACTGTCCAGGCTTATACTGATGCCTGCTTGAATTGAGGGTTAATTTCCTCAGTTAGAACCCCGCTCATTCTTATAAACTCTAGACAGGTTAAACTTCTACTGAGAGAACAGGCACCAGCTCAGAGACATCCTACATGAAGAGAGTGAGGAAGAACACTCTGACGATGATGATTGTGTGATGATATTCAGTGGCAGTAAACAGGATGCCAAACAAGTGCACGCAAGAACAGGTACCTCTGTTAATAGGTGTACAATCACCAGTTCAGAACAATTTGACCAATCTCTATTGTGTTACTGTTAAATTAGATATGTCAGTCTAGAGATCTCAACTTTACCTGTTTGCGGTTATTTTAAACCAACCTGTGCAGACATGTTATGGCATGAACTTGGCACAGGTGGGGCTTGAACCCAGATCACCTGGCCCACATGAATGGACATTACCACCGTGCCACATTAAATTGACAGCATTCAGCTTTGTACAACCATGTGTATTTGTTTTATCTTTGACAGCATGTTGTGTTATGCCTTATGATTGTTATGTCGGTACGTCTTTAAAATGCATGATATACTGTCACCAGCAATCCCGAGGGTTGGTTAAGAAAGCTATTAATAAAAACATGCTTTTAAAAAAAAATCCCACCTTTAGCCAGGTGTAAAGTGTTGAAGATGGGGAAAAGAGGATGTTTGATTAAGTGTAATGATCAGAGGTGAAAGATGTTATAATGTAATTTCCAGAAACATATCCCAGTCTGCTCTCTCAGAGGCAGGTAAAATTTCCTGGACCGGTTTTGAAGTAGAGTAGATGTACAGGAAGGTTTTGCCAAAACTATACGAGGCACTCATCAGACCACAGCTGGAATATTGTGAACTGTTTTTGGCCCCCTTTCCTCAGGAATGATACAGATTCACTAGAAAGGTAGCAGGTATGGAGGGGCTGTCTTATGAGAAGAGGTTGAATAGATTAGGTCGGGACTTATTGGAATATAGAAGAATGAGAGGCGTCCTTACTGAAACACACAAGATTCTTAAGGGGCTTAACAGGATAGATATGGAAGCATTGTTTGCCCTTGCGGAAGAGTCCTGGATCAGAGGGAATAATGTGCTGGTGGCAGCAAAGTGGTGGCGGAAGGGCATTGCGGCAACATAGACAAGGTGGAACCATCAGTGAGAGACAAGACTCTGATGTTGGTGAGTCCAGCATAGGTGGTGAAGCGGTGGCAGAGGAGAATCAGCCCAGCGGTGGAAGATGGTACCTGAGGAGTGGCAACTTCAACATTGTTTGGGTCCGGTGCAGATGGTGGCAAGGTGGTGGAGGAAGAATGGCAGCGCAGGCATCGTTGAAGATTAGGTCACTCAGGACTGATGGGCTCTCTTTACACCACATCTTTCTATTTTTTTTCTCCTTATTCTTAAAACTATTCAAAATGGTGCGAGATCGTGGCGACACAGGGAAAGCTCTTCACTGTATTTTACCGTTTTTCTCACTGTAAAATGCACATGGCAATAAAATCATTCATTCAAAGCAGGAAAGTGGAGTTGAGGGTTATCAGATCAGTTATGGTCTCATTTAATGGCAGTGCAAATGGGCTGAATGGCCTACTTCTGCTTCTATATCTTACAGTATTTATATTGGAGTATATTGTACTTGCAACACAGAAATGAGCCATTTGACCCTAGCGGTCAATACTAATATTTGTACTACACATTAAAGGACCTCACAGAAGCCTTCTGATAATGGCCTTCATCTTTCTCCTTCATGTGCTTATCTAGATTCCCCTTAAATACCCTATAAATAACCACATCTGCCTAATGCTAATACTGAGTGAAAAACATGGGCGTGTAGAGATGACAGTGCTACAGTCTCAAAATTAAATCCATATTTTCTCATTCCAATCATTGTCCAGGAATCTAAGCATAGGTTCCTGTAGGAAAGATTGGAACCAGGTTTTAGGGGGTGTGTGTGTGTGTGTTTGTGTATTTGTACATTTGTGTATGTGTGTGCACGTGCATGTGTGTTTGTGTGCACTTGAGTGCACGTATGTGTGTGGGCATGTGTTTGTGTATATGAGTATGTGTGTGTGTATGTGAGTATGTATGTGTGTGTGTGTGTGTTTGTGTGTAGAGCAGAGGCTGCTTCTATTGTAAATCTAAAAACTAAAACAGACAGATGATTATTTGAAGAGAGATATAGAACCAAGGTGGACAGAATTAAGGTGCAAAGGGAGAGGAGCTAATCCACACACCATCCATTTTTCAAGAACCTTGAACTAAAATTGACAGTGTGTAGTGATTTGAAGCTTGTCTGTATTTTTCTGCATGCCTCTAACAGAATATATTCTGAGGACGGCTCTGATTTTATTCATCCCAGATCAATAGATCTTTATTTGAAGTTGATGTTTCATGAAAGTAATTGAATTAGTAGAGGTATGAAGAAAAACATTTTCATGCAACAAGTGTTTAGGGTCGAGAATGCACTCCTGAGGGTCTGAGGAAGTCCGTTTTAACTGAGGTACCCGAAAGGGAATTCGATGGGATGTAGGCTGGGGAATGGCACTGAGTGAAATGCTCGTTGAGAGAGGAGTGAGGGTTGAAGGAATTCTGTCATGGTAACTTCACACACACACACACACACAAACACACACATACCACACACATTCAAAATGTTGCATGAAACTAAATAATCAGCACTAATGAAACTTCCAATTAGCCCAGTACAATAATTTCCAAGTCATTTTCAGTGATGAGAAATCAGATTACTCACAGGTGGCAGCCTAGAAATTTGTTAAAAATGTTCGTTTTTTGGTTGCTGAAGCGATTTTCTGCTTTATATTAAAACTGCACCAGGTTATTGCTCTTAATTATGTAATGGAAAGAAAAAGGAATAATTGCTTTCTGTTATGCTGCCTGATTGCATTGCTTCAATAAAGACTTTAGTTTCAGTGCTCATGCAAATAAATTTTAGCTGAAGCTTGAATTGTAACCTACCCAGTAGATTCTGCAACAAAAGCAGAAATTGCTGGAGAAACTCAGCAGGTCTGTCTGCATCTGTGGAGAGAGAAAGAAAAACATAACGTTATGAGTCCAATGACTCTTCATCAGAACAGGATTTTGTACCCAACTTCCTGATTGTGTCGAAAGCAGGACCTCTATCCCTAGGAAGTGAACCCAACAACAGCTTTGAGCAGATTTCAGAAAAAAAAACACAATAATTATCTAGCCAGAGACTTCACAATTATGTGTCAGAGTGTAATTTGAGATCAATATCTTGCAGTAAAACCTCAACACAAGGAAGGTCTCAATTAATACTCAATTTTGTGCAGTAGACTGATTGTGCAAATACGTTTTCTCTGAAAGATTGTAATGAGGCAGAACCTGAAATGTTAAAAGAAAATTGCATGTCTTTATATAGAAAACAAACCTGAGAAGTAATAATAGTTGCACAATTCCACTGTGTTGTGTCTAAAGACATAAACATGAAAGTGTACATATAAGTACTCAAGGTAGATTTCCTTTAAGAAAATAATTCATGCAATAGGAAATATATGCAGAATATATTGTTTAACATTGGATGGCAGTAAAAGATACTTGGCTTGAATTTTCCTCCTGATGGTGGAGACAGAGCATCTTCTTGCCAGCCCAACGCTGCTTTGTAGCGTTTCCAAAACTCCAGAAATATCTCGGAGTTGCTAGGAATTAAAGATTAATCTCCTGGAAATTGCTGTCAGGTGAAAAATCGTAGCGGTATTATTTTTAAACCATTTCCTTTGAGCATTGTTGCCTATTAGTTAGAAAACTACTGCAGATGGAAGATAATCTCTATTTGATTAACAAATCGGGCAGGATTAAATTGAGCATACACTGCTGTGTGCTATTTTCTGAGGTAGACCACTCTGAGACTGCCTAAAACTGGCTGAAATTCTAAGGGAAAAGTAGGGTCCACGTTTGTGCTATATGGTCGACAATGACTGAGAATCACTCTGTGAACAATATGTAAAATAAAAAGGTCTTATGTTTTGAGCTATATTGTGGAAGATTAATGCAAAAAGAATTAACATGTTTGTGGACAATTCCTTTGTTTTTTGGTAGCTGTTGAATGTTATCTTGTTAAATCTGCTTCTCTAATAGCTAAGAAATTGTACAAAAACATGTGGGTGCATCTTTGAGCATAATTTCAAAGGGTTTATAAACAGATTTCTGAAGGTACATTCCTGACACTGAGTACTAACCTTGGTAAATAATGCCAGGTCTATAGAAAACAAATCTTTAAAAGGCAGGTAGAAGTTCATCTTAAATGAGAACCCAATGGGTTCAACTGCACTGCCCATTATACAGTCTCCCCAGTATTCCATTCCAAGCATGTATAATGGGCAGCTTGTGAGATATTTCGGTGATTTCGCCCAAGGTGAATTGTGACCCTTTGCATCATTCAAAGAGTGCGTCCCTTAAGAATTTCATTCAAACATCTTCGACTGTAAAACAGAGATCAGGAATATGGCAATAAAGGTAATAAGTGTAATGACTGCGATCACTCTAGAGTTTGCTACACAATTGACAGCTCTAAGGAATAAGGTATTCGCAGATGTATCTCTTTTCAGAACGGCACACTTCATCGGACCATTTGCTTTGGCTGTTAATTGAGGCCACCACGCAATTCTCCCGTGTCCCTCCACGCGGCTCATTCCGATCCCAGTTGAAATAAGTAATCGGCAAGCCATTCACATCGACAAATTTACCCTCAGTGGTCATGTCATTGACACCGATCCAGAACTCCCTGGCCCCGATCAAGCTCTTCTTGGCATAGTTACGGAGGGAGTTAGCTTCATCACTGCCTCGGGGGATGCTCAATGTCCCTCCTTGGGCGATACAGTCTTCATTGGCCGCATGGTAGCTCTTTGCACTTTTCGATGCCAGGTAGCACTTTTTGTGAATTTTCGTCCCTTTCAAGCAAACTGGCAGGATAAAGAAAGAACTTGAATTAATACTGCACTTGTCACACATCCAAAATAACCCAAAGCCTGGATATTTCACATGCATTTGCAGTGGTTTGTTTGGGGATTGGCAGAAGCTTGTATTAGGAATGGGAATCAGTAGTTTATATTTGAAATATTGTTATGAATACATATTTACACTTATGGATTATATGAAAACCGGAAGATATTGAGAAATTTGGGCCCTTTCCAGAATGTACAGGGTTCTTTTTTTACCAGGAGTTTGAGGGGGGTATTTGTGTGATTTCTTGGAAATTAGATTAAAGGTTTAATATAGGCTCTGGAAGACATTGAGAAATTTGGGCCCTTTCCAGATTATACAGGGTTTGTTTTTTTACAGTGGACTTGAGAGTGGTATTGTGCAGTTTCTTGGAAGTTAGATGAAAGGTTTAATATGGGCTCTGACTCACCTGCTGATTACAAAGAGTGAAATGACTCTGGAAAAATTGCCAAGCAAAGCTTTTCTGAAATAAGAGATGGAGTTTTATTGCCTTAATTACTAGAAATCTTGGCTTTGGAAAAAACTATGGAGATCCTATACTGAAGGTTTCCTCACAACCCATTATGGACTTAACTTCTGGTTTACATACCTAGAGAGTCATGCAGAATAACATAGAGGGTGGTTCGCATGTGGAATGAACTTCCTGAGGAAGTGGTGGATGTGGGCACAGTTACAATGTTTAAAAGACATTTGGATGAGTATATGAGCAGGAAAAGGTTTGGAGGGATATGTGCCAGGAGCTGGCAAGTGGGCTAGTTTAGTTTGGGATTATGGTCAGCATGGACTGGTTGGACCAAAAGGTTTGTTTCCGTGCTGTATTATTCTATGACTCTGTAACACTTTCAAAGCTTCAGTAGGGCTGCAAACTCCTTTCCCTCCCTCTCTTGGTTGAAGTCTTTGCGAATTTGATAAAGTTTCTATATTTCAGCAGTCTGATTATTTTTTAAAGCCTGAGAAGCTGATCTGTGACTGCTATCCAAAGACTTGGATCAAATTTGATTGATTTTCATCCACATCAAAGCACTAATTCTAAGATTTTCCATTGGTCTACAGCTACCAGTAGATCAAATTTGTCAACAATAAACACCCTTAACTATAAGAATTCAGCAAAAACTATGTTTTGTTTTTCAGAACATTTGACAACAAGAGGTTTTCTTTCACTGTCTTTAAGATATCATCTCTGCAGAGTCTTTGTTGTCTTTTGTGTTGTCCGAATGTTCTATTTGGGATTAAAACAGGATATAAATCTAAATCTGGATTGGAATTAAGTATTAGCCAGTTGTGCAGATTGTTTTAAGAATGAGTTCTGTTTTATATTAAATGGGATTATTTTGAATTTGCTAAACAAGCCTGGAGACAGTTTAGTTTATTCGGCTCAGCAGCACAGAAAGGAAACAATTGACCATTTTGATGATTGAATCAAACATTTATACTAAATGGGTGACTCACAGAGAAGTTAGGTTTGACTACCAGCACATTTCTTTCAATGCAATATCAGTATAACAATATCAATAATAACGTTTTCCTAAATGTATCTGTATTCAGAGTGGAAATACAGACCACGCCTCACTCCAACACAGTCGGATTATTTACCAGTCTGCAGCGCTTGCATTTCTTTAAGTGAATTCACTTCTCGCCATAGTTTGTCAATTTCATTCCTCAACTCATCCTTGCCTGTGGTTTAAACATAAAAGATTTTTTAAAATATTCTTGAAAGTATGGACTGAAACTTTAAAATAACAACAGCAAAGTTTAGAAAAAAAAAATTCTAAATAACACACTTGACCACATCAACAGGCCTGGCTTTCTGCAGTCACTCACTATAATATTATGCAGCATTGTAATTTTCCATTATAATCAATAACCAGAGGCTTCATTCACTTTGTAACACTTTCCACATTTTTAAGACTTCTTAAGCTTTCTTTTCATTCAGAAAGCATTCCAAAAATTTGGAAAAGACTATTAGTTAACAGTACAAGTCTCACATTACATGAAGTGCAATACTCTTTGGGATATGGCACTGTGGGGTGCCTCACCACACTTACAGATTCTATTTGCAATTCACAAATCACATTTTCATATAATCTGACAGGTTCTACAGACATTCCAGCCCCTCAAGCAGGAGGGGTCTAGGTGGCAGCCCTTCTCCATTGAGCCTTTATGACAGCTGCCCCAAGCTTTCTGTTGTCCTTCCCACAGCAAGCAGTCCTGTGCTATGAATGTGCTAGTCTGCTGCACTCAGAGGTGGACAATTCATTGTGGATGACACTTTTTACTGAAAAATGTGTCGATTTATGAGTAGGAATAGTAGGTAATAAATGAAAGAGAAAAACCCAGAGCTGAGGTGTCACTCAGGTTGGAGTGAGCAAAGCGTGGAAATTCAAGGCAAGTGAGCTCTCGCCTATCTTTGGTTGAGATGAAACATTTTTTTCACTCACAAGGTGGTCAGTCTGTGGAATTCACTCCAGGCCAGGTCATTGAGTATACTTCAGGAAAAAAAAATGTTTTTTTTTGTTAGATATTGAAGGGATTAAGAGGTATGGAGAGAAAGCAGAAATATAGTGTTGAGATACAGGATCGGCCATGATCGCATAGAGCAGGATCAAAGGACCGAATAGATTACTCTAAACATAATTGGAACTTTGAAGATACAATGTGTAAAAAGTGTTGATTTGTTCAAGGATTTATGGTAAAGTCCTGAAAAGAATAGATGCTCCATAGGTTATTATGTTTGAATTCCACAGCCTGACCATCTCGTGGGTGAAGAAGCGTTTCCTCATCTCAGGCCAAGATGGGCAATAACTCACTTTTTTTGAATGTTTAAGCATTTAATGTTCAGTTCCTGTTTTGTACCACAAGATGGTGCTTTAATACTGGATGGTGCTCAAGGAGGCTCAATCTCTGAATATTTTGATTCACTTACATAAGGACTGTGTTCATTACTTTTTGCACCAAAGAACACCAATGGGAGCCAACATAAGCATGAGGAACAACCACGCCACTTTCAATGAAGCATTGTATAGCCTTTCAGCCTCAACACGGAGTTCAACACTTTCATATCATAACTGTCTCTCTCATTTCTTTGGCCAGAAAATGCTGGTCATGGTTCTGCTGTAGCCATGAACAACTCCTCAACTACTCAACAACTCAAGAACATTAAACTCTTCTCGACCCACTGTCTGTTTTTTCACTTGCCCCACAGTCAATTCCTTTACCTTGTACCATCATCTACATTCATATTTAATGGCAGGAGACTGTTGAACTGTGAAGCATATTCCAGATGATTCTGCACACATGTCCTCGTCTAACCCTATTGCATTTTAGAATTATAGACTGGATATAGCATAGGCTATTCAGCCCATTGTATCCATACCAGGCAACCCCACACCTCCACTATTTCCCCCATTGCCCTGCAAACCTTTCTTTACAATTCCAGCAAATGCATAGTTACTTGCTCTTTATAGTGTCTTTAATACATTAGCCATCCAGAGACAAATCACTAAAACACAATCCAACATGTGTTGCCAAACCACACCAGGAGATGTCAGGATAAGAACCAATACCTTAGTCAGAAAGGTAGGTTTTAATGAGGGGAATCAGGAGGTGGATAGGTTTGAAGGGGTAGTTCGAGAGCTTATGTGGGCCTAAACAGCTGAAGGCACAACCACGAGCAGTGGAGCAATAGAGACAAGGATGAGCTGGCAGCTTGGAGGTTATGACAAAAGGTTATCTGCTCCAACCTAACCATCTATTAAACAAGGATCAAAAACAAAGTTGCTGAAAAAGCTCAGCAGGTCTGGCGGCATCTGTGAAGGAAAAAGCAGAGTTAACACTTCGAGTCCAGTGACCCTTCCTCAGAACAGTTCCTCAGTTCTGAGGAAGGGTCACTGGACCCGAAATGTTAACTCTGTTTTTTTCCTTCACAGATGCTGCCAGACCTGCTGAGCTTTTCCAGCAACTTCTGTTTTTGCTCCTGATTTACAGCATCTGCAGTTCGTTTGGTTTTCATCTACTAAACAACATCCTGCACAACCATACGACTGCTGCAGACCCAGCTCCAAGTGGTGTGAGTAATGAGTTGGAAATCTATCTAAAACACCTTTGATGGTGAAGGCATCCCATATATAATGCAGAATAACGGTGAGTTGGGCTCACACATATTCATCCAAATCCTACCCCTCCAACCAAACCAAGGCAGTGATGGCAATATACTGGTTTCTGGACTGAGAGTGACAGTTATTGGGCTTCATCCTTGCATGTATGGTTGTACTGGATGTTGTTGTATAGGTGGAGCAGTTACAGCAGATAACCTTTGCGTGTAAACAACTGTGAGGTGCTTCTGAGGAGGTTATGGTCCTACACTGTGCATATTTTTCCTTTTGTTTACCAGCGAGTTACTCAAGAATGATGCAAAGCTGCTTATCTCATAAATGTCAATTCTGCTGCTTTGTGATTATTGAGTTTAAAGGGGTAAAGATAACTCTTAATCACAGGTTAACACATCCCCTTCAAATAAAAAGCAGGGAATTAATTATAAGAAATCAAGGGGGAACAGCTCCATGGAAATCCCTGCAAGCCACCAAAGAATTGAAGAAAGCTCTTGATTAGGGACAGTTAGTACATAAACCTTTGATTCGATGACTTTAGATTCACTGTCCAACACAAACTGTGTTGCACAAATTATAAAACTCTTAAGACTCTTAATAGCTTGGACTCAATAGAAAATAATGTCTGATTGAAGCATGACATTCAAAGAAAGGCAGCAGATACTGTAAAGTTAACGATAATTTGCGCAAGGTAATGGAGTTGACAGTCGGGCAGGGCTTCACAAACTAGGAGCTAAATCAGGACCGTGTGAGGTAACAGTAGACCCATCAGCTGTACTCCTGCTCTCATAGCACCCCTAGCCCAACCCCCCCACACACACACACACACACAATTCTCACTGAGGGATTGTGACAAATTTCAAACCTCCTCTAAGGATAAGTTAGAGAAGCACTCCACTTGAGTTTGAAAACAGCGATCTTGTCTTTTGCACAGTCTTGGCAAATGGCAGAAGACGCTAAACATATCAGCGGCAGATTTTTTAAAAAATGCAAAATCAAGAAACAGTAAGCGCTGGAGAAACTCAGAGGTCTGGCAGCATCTGTGGAGAAACAGTTAGCCTTTGGAGTCTGCTATAACATCTTCAAAAGAGTCATGGGACTCAAAAATCACTGAGACCTGTTGAGTTTCTCCAGTGCTTTCTTTTTTTCATTTTTTTAGAGGCACGGAAACAGGAGCAGGCCATTCTGCCCTTTGAGCCTTATCTATCGTTCAATATGATCATTGGTAAATTTTAGATTTCTTGCATCTACAGTATTTTGCTTTTAAAGAATGCAAAGTCCACGCTTGAATTTTAGGATCGACTTTAACCTGAGCTCTCGTCGAAATTGTTCTTGATTAAATTCAGTGAAAGTAAAATTGTGCAGGGTATAAACCCAGTTTTAAACCCGAACCACGCATTCAGTTTCTTGCAGGGCAGGGCAGGTTAAAATCAAGCCTAATTTGTGACGGGATAAGGAGCCTGTCGTTGATAAACGGAAGGACACGATGCTCAACAGGTAAAAAATAAAACTTGAATAATGCTGGATCTGCATTAGATTCAAAACGACCGAGGATAACGCTGTTTCCGGGTTAATAGGTGGTTAAAAAAAACAACATTGCAACGTGAGTTCAATGTAATGTTTTTGACTAAGAAACACATCCAGTTTACACGACTTTAGATTAAAAGAAATAAAAGCCTGGAACTGTAATATACTTATTATAAAGTTTCCAAGTGGCAGACGTTATTGAACAGTAAATATGAAACGAACGAAATAGAGGTGGTTGAAGTTATTTTGTTCAATTAGTTGGTGACATTTAGGGAACTACCTTTCGCTTACGAGAACCTTCTAGTTAGTTTTCAGCTTCTTTAAGGAAGAGGTGGGAGTATGGATAAATCCGCAGATCTCCAATGGACAAAGCTAACTTTCTATCTTGGCCATTCACACCGGCACACTGCAAGAAGTGTAAAGCAGAAATTAAATTTGCGATACCTTTCCCAGACTTTGACGCTTTGGATCTGGACTGGGCTGTAGTCAGAGATATTATTGCAACAGCGACATAGACGATAGAGAGGAGTTTTGCTGCGGCCATACCGAAATCCCAATTGTCAATCCACTTGAAGACAGGGGTAGATCCCAGTGGAAGAAAGGGGAGAATTTAAATCAAACTGCAGAGTTGACAGCCTAGAGAAGCAGAGTTTGAGGTGGACTTCTTACATATATATACAGAGAGAGGCGGTGACGTCTCTTTAAATATTGCTTTCTGACCAGCTCTGTGTGCTATTGGCACTAACAGTCCTCATACTTCTGCTCAGCTCCTTCATCCACTCACACATCGAATCTCCTTGTCTTTTTTTTATTATTAGTTACAGTCCTTTGGTTATTTAATTTCATTTTCTGTTTGCAAACCTACTGCTCCCTGTTCACCTTTTTCTCCTCCCATCTGTGTGTTTATGCAGCAACCCATGCTTCCTGTTTTATTTCCTTCAGTGAGGAGTTGGACATTTTCACTGAAGGCATTTCACATTGGTAACCTGTGTTTCAGTTGGCTGCAATCTTGTCAAATGGTCAAACCCCACAGCAGACACTCAGGAGGAGCATTGGGACAGTAAGCCCTGACTCTCCTTTGAGAATTGATAGATCTGGTGGGACTTGAACCCAGACCTTCTGGCCTAGAGGTAAGGGCATTGCCACTGTGTGACAGGAGTCCCTTTAAATCAACCTGGTCAGACTTGCTGTGATATACCTCTGGGGCAGCTGAGAGTTGAACCTAGACTTTTTATCCCAGAGCGAGGGTCATGAACACCGTGCCACCAGAGAGCCCTTGTGTGAGATTTTACAATGCGGCCCCTCTAATGTTGTCTTGTGTGGATGCGAAAGATCCCAGGGCACTGCTCCGAAGAAGAGCATGAAAGTGATCCCACATACAGTGTAAGTCAGGATACTGAAAGGGGTTACAAGTTGAAGTTTTGGGCTTGTGGGCTCTGAGATAGCAATAGCAACCCTGAGTGAGTTGCAACAATGGACCCCCTCCCTCGCCCTTCCCCAATAGGGCCTGCTCTTATGGCTTCCTCCTGCCACATCCCTACACCCCACTCTGACAGGCCTCACAAAAAGGTCATGACAATTTTCAAATCGGGCTCACAGTGGGCAAGAAGTTTGAGAAACATGGCCGGGAATTGAGGATTTATTCGTTCAGCAACATAACTTTAAAAATAACACACTCATATCATTCTTGTTGAAGATTGGCTGACATGTTTTTCATATAACACTTTACAACACAAGTATTTCATTGACTATAAACTGCTTTGTGACATCCTAAGGCAGTGAAAGGTGCTATACAAATGCCAGCTCTTCAGGAAAATATCAGGAATAGGTCATTTAGCCCCTCAAGCCTGTTCCACCATTTAATTTGATGGCGGTTGATAGAACACTTTTACCTATGCTATCCCCATAACCCTCAGTACCACTGAGAATCAAAAATTGATCAACTTCTACATTATATATACTCAAAGATTTAAGATTATTACTGCAGCTTGAGGCTGTTGTTGAAGGTACTGTTGATAAGCAATTTCTCTAATTGTTCAGTGATAAAGTGAAATGAATGTGAAATGGCAAACAGGAAGGAGGAATGCCAAGCAGGAATGGCTGGTATGGGGAGAAGTGAAAAAAGCTGTCAACATGCAGCTTTTTCCAGAGATCCCAGACAGCAGGGAATGAGGTGATAAATTGGTGAGAACTGACTGGAAGCTCAGGAGCACAAAGTCATATTGGTCGAATGAGTGATAACACCTTCATTTGGTGGTGGAACTGTGGGGGTAGATAAATATTACGAATGTAGATCCTGATGTTGTAGAAGTGAATAGTGCCTGGGTGGAGGAAATCATTTGCAGCATGAGGAAGTGAAGAAATTCGAAAGTAATGATGGAGAATTATAAATGCAATTTCTTTGATCTCACCTTGTTGGACAATCTTACCATCATAAAAATCAGTCTGGTGAATGTTGATCACATTGTGTCTCTAACAGGTATAGATAAAGGAATGAAAAATGTACATAAAAAGACATGCGCGGTCTCACCACACGTGCTGCAAGATTTCTTCTATTAGTTCATAGATGTGGGCATCACTGGCTTTACTATTATTTGTTGTCCATCCCTAATTGGTCAGAGAGCAGTTACATGTCAATCCACTTTGCTGCAGTCTGCAGTCAAATGTCGGCCATAACAAGTAAGGAAGGCAGATTTCCGTCCCTACAGGTCATTAGTGAACCAGATGGGTTTTTATGACAATCAACAGTGGTTACAATTAGCCCAACACTTATTGAATTCAAATGTCTTCATTTACCATGGTGGGATTCAAATCTGTGCCGACAGAATATTGATCTAATGTTCTGAATTACTAACCCAGTGACATTACAGTTAGATTGAGATTTTAATTTAGATTTAGATTAGAATTAGATTTGATTGTCACATGTACTCAAGCACATGGACACAGGAGTGCGGTGAAAAGTATGTAATGTCACCATTCCTGGCACCATCTTAGGTATAAGGTACCTCGGTACAAAATCTGAGGTATAAAGTAGAAAAATAAGAACTTGCAGTTAAAAATTCAACATTGAGGTTCTACTTAAGTGCTTAGCTATTCTGGCCTCACATCGTTCACAAGGGTTTGATCTCCTCTGTGCTGGGCTCGATTTCCTATGCATTGAGCACAACTGCCCCATGCTCGCTGCTGCCACAAACACCAAGTAACCGTGGGCTGCCCGCTCTCACTGATGCTGCAGATGCTGGGGCCCGCTATCGCTGCTGCCCTGGGCTCACTCTCTCCCCCTGCTGGGCTCACTCTCTCCCGCGCTGGGCTCACTCTCTCCCACACAGGGCTCACTCTCCTCCACATTGGGCCTGCTCTCTCACCCTCTCCCGCACTCTCTCACTGTTCCCCGTGTTGGCTTGATCTCTCCCTAGAAGGCATTACCACTACAGCTGTGCCCCTTAAATGAGTAGATACATTGATTCCCGTAATCATCCTCTTGCAGTAAAAGTCAGTGTTAGGATTGATTCCTCATTGTTTGCTGCAATTGCATGCTTACTTTACAGTGACTAATGAACAAGGACACCAAGGTCGCTTTGGACATAAGTACTTCACAATCTCTCATCATTTGAGAAATATTCTGCATTCCTGTTTTTTCTTACAAAATAGATGACTTCACATTGTTTTCCATATTGTATTCCCACAGCTGTATCAGTCCCACTTTATTTAGCTCCTAAATCACCTTAAAGCCTCTTTGCATTCTATTCATAACTCATTTTGGAAATATTGCATTTGGTCCCATATCCATTTTATGTACATAAATTGTGAATAGCTGAGGCCCAAGCATTAATCTTTGCGCTCTCCCTCTGACCTTAGTCTGCCAACCTGATACTGGCACTTCATTCCTACTCCCTGTTTTCCGTCCATTAAAAATTCTCAATCCATGCCAACATATTCCCTCCAATCCCATGTGCTCTGATTTTGCTTATTAGCCTCTTGCATGGGCATTATTGCAAGCCTTCTGAAAAGGCAAATGCTCCACATCCACTCGTTCCCACTTATATACTCAGCTGATTGAACCTGAACAAAACTATAACAGTTTTTTTACGCATGTTTCCCCTTTCATCACTCCATATTTGAACATAAGAGCACAAGAAATAGGAGCAAGATTAGGCCATCAAGCTCATCAAGCCTGCTCCACCATTCAATAAGATCATGGCTAATCTTTTCATGGACTCAGCTCCACTTCCCCACCTGCTCACTATAACCCTTAATTCGTTTACTGTTCAAAAAAATCTATTTTTCCCTTAAAAACATTCAATGAGGTAGCCTTAACTGCTTCACTGGGCATGAAATAGTATGGGCAGTGCCACCATTATTTTTCTAATATCCAGTTATCAAATTCCTTACAATAGATTCTAACATTTCCCAAGTATTGATGACCAGATAACCGGTCTGTAGAGCCCCAGTTTTGAAGAAAGGTTACTGGACCCGAAACGTTAACTCTGATTTCTCTCTGCAGATGGTGCCAGAACTGCTGAGTTATTTTTCCAGCAATTCCTGTTTATGTTTCTGCTATTTTACCATTTACTTTCTCTCTCTTTTCGTTAAATATTGGGTTGACCTACCAAACTGCAGGTGACATTCCAGAATTTTGGAACTTGACCATCACCATCCATTGTCATCTCTTTCAATGCTCTGCATCATGAGGTTTAGGGGATTTATTAAGTCTTACAGTCTGTTAAACACTTAGTCTGTTTTCATGTTTCTAGCTAGCTTACTTCTATATTTTATTAACTTATTTTCCGTTTTTTAGTCCTCCTTTGTTAACTTCTAAAATGTTCCTAATCCATAGGCTCATCACTCTTTTGGCAACTTTATAAGCCATTTCCCTTGTTCCAAATCAATATTGAAACATATATAACTTCTCGTGTTAGTCAAGTTTGGATCACCTTTCTTGCTGGATATATGTGTCTCAAAGGAATGTAAATTTGTTGTAAATGATTTCTGTTGCCTATCTACTGTGATACCTTTTAATGCAGTTTCTGAATCTATCAAAGCTAGTTTGCCCTTCATACCATTTTTTCTGAAGAAGGGTCCTGACCCAAAACATCAGCTTTCCTGTTCCTCTGATGCTGCTTGGCCTGCAGTGTTCCTCAAGCTCCACACTGTGTTATTTCTGACTCCAGCATCTACAGTTCTTGCTATCTCTTGCCCTTCATACCATCTTGTGTCCTTTTTTAGACTCACATCCCTAGTTTCAGTTTAATTACATCACTTACAAACTTAGTGTGAAATTTTATCATATTATGCTCATTCCTCCCTAAGGGTTCCTTTATAATGAGATGATTAATTGGTCCATCCTAACTGCGCAAAGCTAGATTTAAATAAAAGGTTCTGTGACTAATTCCTCAATATACTGTTCTAGAAAGCTACCTCATATACATTTCAGGAGTTTGGGCTCCATATCATTAGTAATAATTAGGTTTACCCAGTCTATATGAAGATTAAGGACCCTCATTTTACCGTATCACCTTTGTCATATGCACGTCCAATTTCCTAATTAATAACATGGCCTACATTATCAGGATTGTTTAGTGGCTTAAAGAAACGAATGCAGTTAACATTTGCTGCCTCTTGCTGTTTCTTAGTGTGCATACAATCTGTTTTCACT